GGGCGGGACTCGGACCCCGGGGCTCCGGGATCTCCTAGCACTGACCCGCGCCTGCTTTGCCTAGCGGGCAGCGGCCTCCGCGCCAGGCGAGTGCGCCCGAGCCCCGGGACGACCCCTGCCGGGCCTCGCACGGCCAGCGCACCCAGCCCTTCCAGCGTCCACGCGCACCCGCCAGGCGGATGGGCGGGTCGTGGATCCGGAGCCCCTGCCCCACGCCGGGCTGACCGGTCGCCGGTCGCGGTGCGACAGCATGCACACCCGCCTCCTGCTGCTGCTTCACCTCGGCGCGCGCTCCGAAGTGCCCTCGCTCAGCGATCGCCGCTCCCCACTCCGCGGAGCAAGCCGCCGAAGGCCGGGCCCCCGAGTGTGCCGTCGCCGGCCCGCGGGGCGGGGTGCTCTGCGCCTCCGCCGTGTTCGGTAGGGTCGCGGGAGGAGCGCCTTCCTCTGGGCGGCCGGGAAACGCTTGGTGCGTAAGATCGGGGGTAAAACCTATGGCTTCCTAATGAAAACATTTACTTTAGCCCAGCAGAAGCCGGAAGCCGGATGTGCGACACAGTGGCTGCCCCGGGGGCGTCCCGGACGCGGTGCTCGCGGTCGCCCTCCTGCAGAGGGAGTGGGAGGGTCACGCCCCTGTGTCAAATTATCGACGGGTGAGTGTTTCCCCACCTTGTGCTCCGTGTTGTATTTTTGTGCATTTATAATTTGTTTCATTAAATGTTTTGATTTTTCTTGTAGAAGTAGCCCCGCTCAGTACAATGTCACATAAAAACCCGCTCTTACAGCTTTGGGGGGAGGTGGAAAGTGAGTCATCAGGTGATTCGGCTACCGAGGATGAGTTGGATCATGTCAGCCTAAGAAGTTTCGACAGTGAGACTGAGCAAGAAATGACAGATAGAGAAGTAGAGAATGAAGACCTTGATTCAGACGAGGAAGACAACAGTAATGGCAATAAATATTTGACTAGCCGAAATGGTACAAGATGGGCATGTACACCCGAATCATCCGACGTTAGAACTAGTTCGGAAAATGTTATTAGGGTCTTGCCGGGGGTCAAACCTATTGGACAGAATGCCAGCACTGTGATTGAATGTTGGAAATTATTTGTAACGGATGATATGCTACAAGATGTTGTGAAATACACTAATAATGAAATACAGCTAAAACGTTCTGTATGTACCAATAGTAGTACTCAAAAATATATTTATCATGACACCTCACTATCTGAACTAAAAGCCTTCATAGGTCTGTTGTATATAGCAGGACTTTATAATCACGAGAATCTAAAGGATTTGTGGAGAAGTGATGGATGTGGCGTTAAGATTTTTAGAACAACCATGACACTCCAGAGATTTGGTGTCCTTCGAAATTGTCTACGTTTCGATGACAAAAAGACCCGCCAAGAAAGAAAAAATTCCGACAATTTGGCTGCTATTCGCTCATTTTTTGAAACTTTTGTTTCAAATTGTCAAGCAGTGTATATGCCCTCTGAGTACATGACAGTTGATGAGCAACTGGCCTCATTTCGTGGTCGTTGCAGCTTTCGGCAATATATGCCAAATAAACCTTCCAAATATGGTATAAAAATATATTCCCTGGTCGATGCGAAGACATTTTACACCTTGAATTTAGAAATTTATCCTGGAACTCAGCCACCAGGTCTTTATTCCTGCAGTAATAAACCATACGATGTTGTGAACAGACTTATTGCACCTATTTCAAAAAGTAACCGAAATGTCACATTCGACAGTTGGTTCACGAGTTACTCACTGATGTTACATTTGCTAAAAGAACACCAGCTGACCAGCACAGGAACTGTTCACAAGAACCAAGCAGAGATTCCTGAAAAAATGTTGCAAGTTCACAATAGAGAGATGTATAGTACAATCTTTGGATTTCAGAAAGACATAACATTGGCCTCCTATATGGCAAAGAAAAACAAAGTTGTATTGATACTGTCAACGTTACACCACGATGATAAGGTTGATAGTGAATCCTCAACACGAATGAAGCCAGAAATTGTCACATTTTACAACAGAACAAAACGGGGCGTAGATGTTGTGGACAAGTTATGCAGTGAGTATGATGTCTCTCGGAACACGAAGCGTTGGCCAATGGTTGTGTTTTACTCCATCCTAAACATGTCAGGCATAAATAGTATCATAGTTTACAAAGAAAATAACAAGCGCAAAATATCACAGAGAGATTTTCTTAGAGAACTGGGACTGGAATTGATAAAAGATCAGTTACAACAGAGAAAGAACAGTATGTGTTTGCCCAAAGAATGCAAAAGAATTCTGGAGCAGACCAGCGAGCAGACAGGTGAAACATCACAAGAACCTCCTCATCAAACAGCAAGACTAGCGAGATGTCAAGTGTGTCCTACAAAAAAAGACAGGAAAACAAAACACAAGTGCTGTCTCTGTAAGCGATACTTGTGTATGGAACATGCTGTGCGCATGTGTGAAGACTGTCTTAGCTGTCATAATTGAAGTAAAGATTCTTTGTTGTAGTTTTTTTAAATTCTAGTTTATATATTTGTTATTCTTTAGATTTTGTAAACAGTTGATTTTGAAAATATTAAAGTTTATTATAAACTTTTTCTTTTTTTTATTTTGTCTTTTTGAGCCAGGGTTTTGCTATGCAGCTCAGGCTGGCCTCGAACTTGCAGTGATCCTCCTGCCTCAGCCTCTGAAGTATTGTAAACTTTCAATATGTTAAAAAACTGATACTTTATTGATATTTTATTTTCCTGTTAAATACACATTTATAATAAAAACTTCCTAACAAAACAGCAATACCCGTGAGATGTTAAGTAGGTCCTACAAAAAAAGACGAGAACAAAACAAAACATATGCTTATCAGTGTAAGCGATACTTGTGTATGGAACATTCTGTTTTCAGGTGTGAAAGACTGCCTTATGTGTCATAAATGAAGTTAAGATTTTTGTTGCAGAGTCTTATTTTTATTCTTACTTTAGCTCATATAGGAATTTGTTTTTCTTTTAGATTTTATAACTAAAAAACAATTGATGTTGAAAATACCTATTTAGGGACAGGGATATAGTTCAGTGTCACAAGTGCCTGCCTAACAAGCTCAAGGTCCTGAGTTTGATTCCTGGTACCAAAACACACACACACACACACAAAATATCAGCCAGGCGTGGTGGTGCACACCTATAATCCCAGCACTCGGGAGGCTGAGGCAGGAGCTACAGAGTGAGCTCAAGGCCAGCCTGAACTGCATAGCAAGAACCTGTCTCAAAAAGACAAAAAAAAAAAAAAAAGGATCGGTTTATTATAAACTCAATAAATGTTAAAAAATTCAGTGCTGGGCTGGGGAGGTGGCTCAGTGGTAGAGCTCTTGCCTTAACAAGGCCCTGGGTTCGATCCCCAGCACCACCAAAAAAAAAAAAGGAAGCCAAAAATTCAGTACTTTATTTCATTGGTATTTTATTTTCCTGTTAAGCACACGTTGTATAATATAATAAAGCTCATGAAATTTTTTTTTTAAGCTCATGAAATTAATAGAGTTCTGTAAAATAAATATGGGTGTTAGACAGCCTCCTCATACTCCTTTTCAGGAAATTTTTTTGTTTGTTTTTTGAGACAGGATCTCACCCTGTAGCTCAGGCTGGCTTTGAACTCCTTAGGTGGTCCAGACTGGCCTCCAACTTCTGGTGGGCCTCCTGCTTCCCCAGTGCTGGGATTGGAGGTGTGAGCCACCACGCCCGGCTCTTTTCAGGAAATTTAACCTTACCCACAAATTGAGAGGCAGCTCTCGGGGCAGCGATCTCCAGCTCCCCGGCGCCTCCCTGCTCTGGGAGCGGCCGAGTCCTCTGTGACTGCAGCGGCGCTGGGCTGGGCTGAGCTCTGCCCTGTTGTCCTCCACCAGCAACATCCCTCCACTTCAGGGTGACGCATCCACCAAGGGCCTCCAGTCTTTAGGGGTCCAGCTGGTCCAAGGAGAGGAAGGGGCCTGGGGGACGCAGGTCTGTCCCATGAGGCCCGGGCTGCCCTCTCCTGTCTCTGTGACATCGCTCCTCTGAGGCTCCCGCCTCTGGCTTTCTCAGCTTCCCTCCTGGTGCTGCTCCCCGCCCCCGCAGGACAGAACAAGTCCCCTTGAGCCCAAAGCAAACCAGGCAGAGGCAGCACACGCAGTGGGGCTCGTCCCCCCGACTGTCCTTGCATCTTGTTCTGTCACTCCCCGGCAGACTCAGTGTCCCCCTTTGACTTCCCACTCATTCTCCAGCCCCGGCCTCTGCCCCCACCGCCCCCCGAAGCAGCCAGCCACTGACCAGCTGCTACATGGGAAGGACAGTGCCAAACTGGCCCTGTGACCTTGCCCTCCTCTTAAGGACGATGTCCTTCCCCTCCCCCGCTTCTGACCGTTCCTTCCCAGAGTGCTTTGCTTCTTTGGCCTTAGATTTCAGTGTCCCCGGACAACAACTCCTTATCCACTTCATGTGCCCTGGTTCTGACTTCATTTGCCCTAGCGATGGTTCAAGACCCGAGCTCAGTTCCTAGTCTCGCCACTTAAGCTTCTTGTTTATTTTGATTTGTTTTTATTTTATGTTTTTGAGACAGGGTCTGGCTATGTAGATCAGACCGTCCTTGAACTCTCTATGTACCTCAGGCTGGTCCCAAACTATTGGCCATCCTCCTGCATCAGCCTCCAAGTGCTGGGATTGCAAGTGTGCACCACCATGCCCAGTGAGTGTGTACTTCTTTATCCCTGCCTAATAAAACCTGTCTATGCCTCTTACTCATGTGTCCTGAAATTGTTTTGTGACAAGAGTCAAGAACCTAATATTTTTTATTTTTTTATCCTTTCTTTTAAGGCAGGGTCTCACTATGCAACCTAGGCTGGCCTTGAGCTTACTTTGTAGCCCAGGCTGGTCTCGAACTTGAAACAGTGCTCCTGCTTCAGCCTCCTGAGTGCTGGGATTACAGGCATGTGCCACCATGCCCGGCCCTCAAGATCCTAATAGACCAGGTTGAGGACTTCATCTCTTCTTTGGGAAAACTCTTCAGACCCCACCCAGTGACCTGATCCTGTTTTACTCTCCAGTCACCTCCCTGGTCTCAGCCCTGTCCTCTGGCTGGAGGTGTGGCACAGCTTCTCCTTGCCTCCCTGCTTAGGCCCTGGTTTCCATGGTTACTCCAGCCAGCCAGATGCTGTTAATAGAGAAGTCAGGTGCCACTGTTACAGGTGGCCCGATCAAAGGCCTGGACCTGGGCCCCTGTCTCTGAGTTTGGTTGCCTGCTTAACAGCCCCTGAGAGTATGAGAAAAACCCATAAAGCAAGACCGGTGTGGTATGCATACCTGCAATACCAGCACTTGGGAGACTGAGGCAGGATGATCTTCTGTTTTTTGTTTTTTTTTCTTTTGTCTTTTTGAGACAGGGTCTTGCTGTGCAGTTCAGGTTGGCCTTGAGATCACTTTGTAGCTCAGGCTGGTCTCAAACTCACAGTGATCCTCCTGCGTCAGCCTCCCGGAGTGCTGGGATTACAGGTGTGTGCCACTACACCCGGCCTGGATGATCTTCTGGAGTTCAAGGCCAGCCTGAGCCGGGCATGGTGGTGCATGCCTGTAATCCCAGCACTCGGGAGGCTGAGGCAGGAGGATCGTTGCGAGTTCAAGACCAGCCTGGGCTACAAAGTGAGGTCAAGGCCAGTCTGAACTGCATAGTGAGAGCCTGTATGAAAAAAAAAAAGAAAAAAAAAGGTCAGCCTGAACTATAGAGCAAGACCCTGTCTCAAGCAAGCAGCAACAACAGCAACAACCGCCCCTAAACTCAGAAAACATGGAAAAAGTTGTTTACAGTTTGATCAAATTGAGAGGGCGGCTAGTCTGCACCTTGACATCTTGGAGGACATAGTAGTGCTCCAATCTATAGACAAGGTAGAACAAACAGCCATTAAATTTTAAAATGGAGACAAGCTGGCCTGGAGGGCTGGGAGGGGGTTATGATTTCAGCACGAAGAAATTGGTGTTTATTTATTTATTTATTTTTTATTTCTTCTTGAGACAGGGTCTCGCTATGCATGCAGTTCAGGCTGGCATTGAGCTCACTTTGTAGCTGAAGCTGGTCTTGAACTTGAAACGATCCTCTTGCCTCAGCCTCCTGGGTGCTGGGATTACAGGCATGCATCACCAAGCCTGGCGGGTGAGCCCAGGGGCCTTTGCACTAAGCCACATCTCCAGGCTTTTTTATGTTTTAAATTTTTAAAAAACAATTTTAAATTTTTTTTTTATTTTTATTTTTTTTTGTGACAGGGTGTTGTGTGTAGTTCTGGCTGAACTCACTATGTAGCCCAGGCTGGGCTCGAACTTGCAATGATCCTCCGGCCTCAACCTCCCGAGTGCTGGGATTATAAGTGATTTTAAAAACTATTAATTTTTAAAGATCATTTTAACTACTCAAGTTACTGCACTGTTCCTTGGCTTCAGAACTTGTTCCTCATAAGGACCTTCTCACCCGCCCTCCTGCTCCAGAACCGGAATGCTCTTCCCTGGAAAGCTGTAAACTTAGCAGACAGGCCTCACCACAGGTCCATACAAAGTCCCAGCAGCCTTCACTCTGGCTCGCCTATTCCCCCTGGCTCCTGAGCCCTTGGTCAGTCTCCTGCGGTGTCTATAGCAGTGCCTTGCATTTTGGAGGCCCAAGATTTGTCCCTGATGGAAGGCATGCGCAGACAAGTTCTGGGTAACCCTGCCTGCCTCCTGCCTGAGACCATTCAGTCCTCACAGCTGCCTGGGGCTTGGGAGGTCAGGAAGTGTGGAACAGTCAGCTGCCCTGAGTCAAAAACCTGGGGCAACACTGGCTTCACCGAGCCAGATCCTGAGGGTTGGGTGGGGTTGTGTTGATTTCCCAGGGACATGGCCCCGTCCTCAAATCTAAGAAGACAGAGAAGCAAATGGATAATGAGCAGTGCCTGGCATATCACAGGTCCAAACGGTGGGGTTAAGAGACATGGGGGTACAGACGTTTTGTGGGGCTCAAAGGAAGAACAGAAATGTTTTGGAGAGCAGGAGGGAGGGGCTGAAATTGACTTCCGGCGGGGACATTTGGGGTAGAACTTGAGGAAAGGGTAAAGCCTGCCGGCATCGGGGGCAGGGTCGGGGGTTGCTGTGAAAGCCTAGAGAGGAACCTTCAGTACCAGAATTCTCTGTGGAGCCACAGGTCTTCAGTAGACAGGGCAGGGGCCCAGGCACTGCCCCGACATGCAGGGACTGGCAGCTGGAGCACACCCGCTCCTCTCTCCTCCCTCGGACCCGCAGATGCCCACAGCCAGCCCTCTGCCCAGACCTCTCTGCGAGTCCGGCCTGCTCTGCCTCCACAGCCCCGCCCTAGTGACGTCTCGCAAGAGGCGTGGCAACGCCAATGGGCGGAGCCTCTAGGGGGCGTGGCCCGACGGCGCTTTCGGCCCCGCCTCGGGAGGGAGGTTGAGGAGGAGACCGGAAGTTTCTTCGCCGCCACTCGCCTCCGCGCTCCCTTCAGTCCCGCCCCCGGCTACGTGCGCAAGGTCATGTCCCGGAAGTAAAGGAGCCATGTTGATGGGTGACCCGGGCAGAGGCAGTGAGCAAGAGGCGAATCCAGAGGAGTGCTAACGCGCGAGGCCCGCGGGTGAGTGAGAGAGGTGAGGGCGTTCTCAGGGCCGCTGCCGGCGCCCACATCCCGCCCGGGCGCTGGCTCCCGGCCTGTGTCTGGGCTTCCCCCGGCCGGCCCTGCGCTTTCTGTTGGAGGCCTCTTCGTGTCCCAGCTTAGCCTCCGGAGGCTTCCGGGCTCGGGAGCAGGCCGGACCTGGCCTCAGGGGCCCCGCACCCCGCACGGTCCCGCCGCCAAGGCCGGGGAAGGCGCTGCGGGGCGGCCGGGCCCCGCCGTCCATCGCCCAGCGACCTTGTAGCAACACCCCACGAGTGACGGTCGCTTTCTGTTGCTTGGTTTTCTGCCCCACCACGGAGGTCTTCTGCAACTGAGGGAAAAGGGACAGAGACGGTGGCTTGCCCAAGCTCGTGCAGAAAGTTAGTAAGGCCGGACTGAGGCTGTGGCGAGTTGGCTTTCGGTCCAAGGGTCGGCTCGTTTTTCTCCCAAGTCCCTTCCCCATTCAGCTGCAGTTCTTTATTTGCGAAGCGGGGCGGTGATCGTTTCTTCCCATAAGGACATTGTGAGTTTTCTTTCACTCAGCAGTTTGGAACCCCTGCTATGTGCCAGGCATGTTGCTGGGAAAGTTCCTGGGGTGCCCGGAAGTGCTGCATACTTGGGAAGACCCCAGCACACGGTCACTCACAGTGCACCCAGAGTTGGTCAGGAGCACGCCCCTCCCCTTTACAGCTGTGCACCTGCCCACGGGTTACTTCTGCATGCTTCCAGGGGCTAAGGGGTTGTTGATAGAATGAGTTGTTAGTGAGATATGCTTAGAACGTGCCTGGTAATGAGTCAGCCCTCGTAAGTGATCCCTCTTATTATGAACCCCGAGCACATCGTCGGGTCCTAGTTACAGTGTAATCGATGACAAAGCACTTTACAGATGATAACACTCCCACCCGGGTAAGGGTTTGTTGTTACTGAAGAAAGACAGTGGCAGTTTGTGTATAACTTAATGTGATATTTGTTGAGCATGTACAAACATGGCAAGGTGGCACTAGTGGTAGCTTTTGCCTGGTCAGTATGTGCCAAGTGCTGTTCTAAATGTGTCTCACTCTTTTAATGCTCAGATCAAGCATTTGGACAAAGTACGACTTATTTTCACGGCACAGAGAGGTTAGAAACTTGCCCAAGGTGATGCCGCTCATCAGAGTGGTGGTGCCCATATTCAAATATGGCTGAGTTCTTGACTTCAGGCACTCTGGACTCTTCCTTGTGATGAAGTTCTGTTATAGGTGCTTTACAGGTGGGAAGTTCTCAAAGTAGTAGTTGCTGTCCCTGTAATATCATTGTTTCCCTTTTATAATTGAGGAAGCTAATGCTCAAGAGGTTAAGAAGTTGACCCAAAGTAAGTGGCAGAGCCAGGGTTCCAGTTTGGCAGTCCGGCTTCCAAGCCCTGGTGAACCTTAACCTGTACTTTGCCAGAAAGGGGTGTTGGAAGGCTAAGGTCCAGTCCTGGCCCTGCAGTGAAGTCAAAGTGTAACCTTGGAAGTCTGATTCCTGGATTAAAACCCCCGGACCTGCACATTCTCTGCAGACCGCAATGCCATTAATTGTTATTCTAGCCATGTCCTTTTTTCTTCTGTATAGAGCGTGACGCCAGTCCTGCTTGTCCCCCATGGCCCCGTGGAGCCGAGAGGCGGTGCTGAGTCTCTACCGGGCTCTGCTGCGCCAGGGACGAGACCTCCGCTACACTGATCGAGACTTCTACTTTGCCTCTGTCCGCCGTGAGTTTCGGAAAAATCAGAGGCTCGAGGATCCTGAGGCCCGGGAGAAACAGCTGGAGAAGGGACTAGTCTTCCTCCACAGCAAACTGGGGGGGCTTGTTTAGGCTCCTCCCCTTTACTCCTGCACCCTGACTGCAAGGAAAGAGGACAGAGGTGCCCTTTCTGGACACACCTGCTCTTTCACCCCCACCTCCCAGATGCATTAAGAAGCCTCAGGTAAGTAGGCTCTGGTCCTGGTAGGCTTCACTTTTTTTTTTTTTTTCCTGATGCAGGGAACCAGGGAGGGAGAATATTTCCTTTTAGTAACCAACATCTTTCCGTTTGTTTCCTCAGTGAAGGAAATCAGACATACTAAAAGAAGTGGGTTCTTTTGTGGGAAAAAAGTAGGCCCTGAGTTCAGGGCCCCAACAGAATGGATTAGTATCCACATCTTATTTCATAAAACATTTTATATGTGAAAATGTTTAGAAAATCAATTGGTTAAAGCCGTTAGATAGAGTTCAGTTCCAAACCAGCTCATTCTTTAGTACATGGAGGTACATGCACTGTATGTGGGTCATATCATGTTTCCTGAAACAGGTATGTTCTGTTCTAACACAGTCTGCAAAGCACAGTATACAGACTTCAGAATCTAGTGCTTGGGTTTAAATCCTGGCACTGCTACTAATAGCTGTGGGAATGAGGGCAAGACATTAAGCCTTTCCAGGCCTTCATTTTCCCATTTGTGAGATGCAGATGATAGTAGTTACCTTCTTGGGTTATTGTGCGAACTCTGTGAGACAGTGCAGACACAGCACTGGGGATGGTTCTTGGCAAGGGCCAGCCCAGCTCTATTTACTCTGGATGCCAGTGTCAGCAAGAGTCTCACAGCAGCATAATGATTATATTTAATTCAGCAGCCTTCCTGGAGGTCCTCGTATGGGCCTGGCATTCTGGTAGGCTCTGGAGATAAGAGGTGAGTGATGTGCTCATCAGCGAACTCAGTCTTAGGCGTATATCAATCAGTGGGCAGCAGCTCTGTGCTGTAGGTTGGGTAAAGAGCTGTGGGCACAGGAAGGAAGACATAGGTCTGCCTTGGGTTTTGTGGTGGGAGAGGACTGTAGTTGGATATAGAAAAGAGGACATTTGAGGTCTATCTCAAATGAGAAATAGAAGCTTGCTGGGCAAGGGAACAAGAATACACAAATACTTAGAGGTGGAAGCTGCATTTTGTAGTCTGGAAACCTGGCATTGCTAGAATGGTGCACCTGTACGACAATCAGCTGGAGTTGAGGCTGGGCCAGGTTTGCGGAGACTATCCCAGCTTTGAAGGAGGGAATGGCATAGCTACTTTTTTTTTTTTTTTTTTTTGTCTTTTTGAGACAGGGTCTCTCT